AAAAAAAAAACCAAAAAAGGGGGGGGGGGGGGGGATCTTAAATTCTGGGTCATCTTGGATTTGGGTAAACACAGTACTACTTTCAGCCGTGTCTGAAACTAGTGACCATCCTCGGTTTAGCCACATCTGTGATGATGGTGATTTGTTGTGGAGAGATCCAAGTAAAGATCCAGCACAGTTTTAATATACTTGGCAATCAGTATTGGAATAATTAAGGTTACATCTATGACACCTAACCCATTTTCCAAGCATTCCAGTACACATACCCCTCAACTGGCATGGTCAATCACTAAGCTACAAGGCACTTAGAAAATAGAAAGGAAGCAGACAAGGCACTCGCAGAGACGGCACTCACCCAAAAGGCAGGAGAGGAAGGAAAAATGTTCTCGTCATTCAGGCACTGTGCTATGACAGACTTGCTCAAACTAGCGCACTGATCTACCTGCTTCAGTTCTCCATCTGTAAAATGATGAACAGCTTTCCAACCCTTCATGCCTGTTTAAATTTCTGTAGAGCAGGGAACTGCCTCTTATAATGCGTCTAGGCACTACTGTAATACAGATACCAAAACGAGTTTGGTTAAGACTGCAGGAGGGCCAGATCAGTCTGACCACATTGCTAGCAGTATGACGGGCCAGCTTATTCAGCCACCAAACATCTAATGACAAGTCATTCCCAATGTGATGTCATGCATGTTGTTCTGTCACATTGCACGGCTCAAGCAGATCTACACTCTCAGGTCCACCCCTTATACTAAAGCCTAGGAGTCTCACAGCTAAGCCTTGAGTCAACTGCAAAGAGATCCAAGCTCAGGGCGTAACTGTTTTGAACAGCAAATCAAACTGGATTGCAAGATCCTCAAGACCCGTGGAGATAAGGTGCAACTTCACACCAAAACAAAAGTTACTATTAATACTACCTTTGCTTTAGCACCAAGCATCACAGTGGATGCTCACTTCTGAAGGGTAATAAGAAGTCTAGGCTATCCCAAAGAAATTAAATTGTTCTGTAACCTGAATGAGGAAAGCTTGTCTTCAGTTCCCTCAAGAAAAAAAAAGACAAAGACAGGTCTATAAAACAGGCAAAAAGGGGCACTCAGGGACAGGGTTCTGCAATAGTCACTATGTAATGGAAGTGATGAAGTAGACATTCCTTGCACCACTCAGACTTTCATGCAACGCTGCAGGTACAAGAAGAATAATAGTCTCAAATAGTCTCATACTGCATCATCTTTTGCTACAGGCTTTTAAAGCTTTTACAGGCTTTTAAAGTGAATTGCCCATCAAGAATGACATGGGGGGGGAATGGGGACAGGACACAGAGCGCTGCCACCCACCAGCCCACCCTGCTGGTGCACCCCAGGAGCTGGGGGGGGCTTTCCCTGCCATCCCCTCTGTGCTGCCTCTTTGCCCCCATTTCTGTTCACTCTGCACTCTGATTGGCTGTTTGTCACCGGCAGCAACAAATAACACATTACAGACGGACAGACAGACGTAGGCTTTTATAATATTAGGATGGAAGTAGATAGGTGTTCCAAAGAACTGCCCAATTCAGACAGAAAAGTTCCTAGTCTACAACTAAGTTGTAAGAGGGGACCAGAAGGGGCAGGAAAAATTTTTGGCAGGAAGACTGATTAAGTTGGATTTCTTGCTTTAGGAGCGTTTAGGATGAACCCATGGCGACACCAGCTCTTGAAGTATTTCAAGCAAATGGATTCCTAGAGCCCAAAGCACATTCTGGAATGTGACATTGCTTCCACCAGAAGCACGATCCTTCATGTTTAAAATGGGGGCTCCATCTAAGCCACTGTTGTCAATTTTGTGAAAGATCAAAGCAAAACAGCTTCTCGTTCACCCCGGGTTTTAAATTTACCATGTGCACAATCTACCTTCAGTGGCTTGGAGGATACCCAACATTAACAACAAAATGAATTCTCTGGGGATGCTGCAACCTAGACTGACAGAGGAACAAGCCCCACTTGGCTGGGATGGTTTAGTCAGGGATGCGCCTGCCATGAGCAGGGGGCTGGACTAGATGACCTCCAAAGGGCCTTTCAGGCAACCTTCCCAGGGGTTCTAGGAAGGCAGCCAAGCAGTTTCATGTGGTGCACATAAAAAAAAACCCACGCAGATCTCCAGACCCACAGAGATGCATCACCAGTATCTGTTACCTTGATTTATATATCACCAGTAGCCTCCTGAGCAGCTAAGGTGACCTTCAGATGTTTGCTTGGAGGGAAAAGAGAGAGACTCTTACTCTACCCTTTCAGGATGAATGCTCAAACAGGAGGAGGCTGGTTCAGAATACAGAACAGCCCCCTGCTTTTGTGAAATACAATGGGAGAAATTTTCACAGCAACAGCTTCACCCACTGGTAAGTCGAGTAGAATCACAGGCTCGTTGCTTCAGTTAGTACAACGGTACTTTTATTGAAGTTCTGTCTGCCTGGAGCTTGATTGATCCCTTTGCTGCTATATAATATGTGGAAAAATTCTGATACCTGCACCTCTTTGCATTTAACGAGAGGAGACTGCTTCCTTCTGCCAGTGTGGCTTTTGCTCTCTCATGGATGATAACATGATGTTTCAGCAGTTATTCACTGCACCACACTCCAGAAAGCCCGATCTAGAGCACCCTGATTCTGGCTAGGGTTGTACAAACAGAAACATCCAGAGAAAGGGAACCCTGAAGCAAAAGTCTAGAGACCACTACCTCATGCAGCCGCACTGAAATGAAAGGCTGGCCCAGGAAGAGGCTATCTAGGACTGGAACCGAGGCAGATTTTCCTGGGTCAGGGCAGGGTCAAGGGGACTGCCCAACTTGGTCGCATGTATTTTCTTTGAGGTACTTGGGGGTTTTCTTCGGATATCCCATTCACATACCCAAGATCTCAGAAAGCACTGCTGCCAACCAATTAAAGGTTTTTCTTCCTGATAGGGCAAAGTGGCAAAAAGTGAGCGTCTTGAAAGACACTGCCCCAGTACCATGCCGAAAAAGACAGGAAATGACCGTCTTCTTTCCTGGTTGTTTCTACCTGTCAGTGCTACAGCCTCTGGATAACAGCCTCTGTCCCAACAATAAGCATTCATTTGTCAAGGGCTACTCTGCTGTTCATGTGAAAAGGGATTTCACCTTTTCTGTAACTCTAGCACAGCTTCTTGTTCACAAAGACATTAAGCTTTTTCAGCTTAATTCCTTCAACAACTGTGCTTCGGAGGCAGGATATATTTTCTCATGCTGAGGCTATGCTAGTACTGTATTCACATCAGTGACTACGACCTCCTACAGCATGCCTAGCTAGCTTGAGCACCAGTAGCAGCTGAGCCATGCCAGCAAGGATCTCAGTGCAAGGCAGCACCTTCCTTCTCAGGTGGGTTTTGCAGTTCTCGGGCTTCTGCAGCTAGACTGCTACTGGTACCCAAGCTACCTTGTTAAAAGCTAGTTCAGGTATGTCTGCTCTGCAGTGCAGCGCAACCATACCTGGGATCTACATCAACTTTGCGAATATGTGAAGTCACGATCACACACGAAAACAGAATGGCTCCTTAAACAGGTTGCTCGTCTTTTTGTTTGCTACCACAAGCCATTTAAAATTTTATAAAATAATCTTCTATTTCCTTTCCGTAACAAGGTTATGAAAGAGGGAAGGAAAAACTGTTGCCCAGAAGATGGAATAAGCTGGATTTCATGTTTATCCTTAGAAAAACTGACAAATTTCTCAGTTTGCGCTGTGACTAATTATTCACTCTGAACAGAGGTGTCTTCTATAACGGGGCTGCCCAACTTCAATGGGGCCGAGAGCTGCACACCCCTTGGGCTCTGGAGGCCGCATACCCTTTCCCCCACCCCACACACCCAAGCACCTCCCCAACTGCACCCTGCACCCATTGCACTCCTGGCCCCTCCCTGCCACACGGGACACTGACTCACCATTAGTTCCCTCCAGGCTGTAGGCTCCCCTGGCACCAAAGAGAAATTTGGAGGAAGGGGGAACCTGGAGCCCCTGGTTGCTACTGCAGCCAGAGCAATAGAGAAGCGGTGTTCAGGTGGGAGCCAGGGGCCCAAATTTAACTCCCCTGAGGCCTGCTAGCTGGGCAACCCTGTTTTATAAGAACAGACAAACACACTGTTTCCTAACTTGCTGGGTTAAGAGCATACATTCCCCACTGGCCACAGACCGATGTGGACATTTCATTTGAAAGGTGCTGGAGCAGGCTCAAGAGCCGTGCCACAGGACTGTTACGAGGTAGTGAGAACGGGTTGAGCCACCTCTACTGACTCACTCCTGTACCTGCCACTGACGTCAATCCCATGCACTTCCCTGTCCACAGCACACCTCACAGGCCTGCTCAGAGCTTTCCTCCACACAGCGCTTCCCTGTCCGCAGCACAGCACACGGTACAACACATGACACAAGCATCTCATTTGGGAAACTCAGCTAGTTTCAGCGGTGGCAGCTCCTAGCTGAGGACCGCAACCTGCACACCGGCATGTGCTAGGAAGGCTGCGGAAGCGGAACGCCCTGTTGCTCTAAGGAAATTGGGTGTGCTCATTTTTCCAGCGCACGCTAAAAAAAGGGACATCCAACGCACCTCCGAAGGAGACATATCAGATGTCTACCATATCCCCAGCAGGACCCGCAGAAAAGCGTGACAAGTCGAGCAGAGAATAGGGAAGCCACGGCCAGCAGCTCCGAAAATGGCTCCCCTGCACCCCCGTACCTTGCTGAGACGGACGTCCACGGCAGGCTCCTTCAGACGGACGGTGGCTTTCCCCTCCTCCACGAACCTGGTGAAGAACTGCTCGATGTTCTCCTTCAGCTGTGGGGATGGAAGAGGGACCGGCAGGCAGTGATTACGCAGGCTGCCCAAGAGCCCGCCCTGAGGCCGCCAGCATCGGACCATGCGTCTGCCCCACAGCCGCTCAGGGGGCGCGTGGACCCTCGCCCTGGCAATGCGGGACTTGGGGCATGCCAGACAGGGGCTAGAAGGGGCTCCAGGGGCGGGGCTTGCTTGCAAAGGGGGTGGGGCCTGCCCGTGGGGGCTTCAGGGGCGGGGCCTGCCCGTGGGGGG